AAAAAAAAAAAAACACTTAGGCAAATCTTAACAAATTAAACACTTAGAAAAAAAATCAGAAATTCAAGAGCATGAAAGAAGAATTAAGAAGACGAGGACATCCTCTTAAATCTTGATTTTTGATTGATAAACTGAATAGACGAGGACATCTATTTAATTTTTGATTTTTGGATTAAACAAGATTATACAAAGTCGAACTGAAGAAACAAAATACCTAAGGCAAAAAAGGAAAAACTGCAACTCTGATAATTTCCCAAAAAGCGCGCATTTCATTTCAGTCGCGGTTCAATTATATAGCCCGCTTAATGTTGTACATTTTTAATTGCCCTAATACGACATCGTTTTGACAACCAGATAAAAAATAAAAGAAAAGAAAGAAAAAAAATAAAATGAAAATGAAGAAGCCTGCGCAACGGTCATATATTCATCACCCCCCCGTCAAGTTGGAGCAGGGTTGACGGAAATCATGCCCAACTTGAAAATCAGAGAAGAGAAGTGCGCAGCAGGAAGAATTTTGGTGAGAACATCCGCAAACTGAGCACGAGTAGGGACATACCGCAATGCAATGAAGCCTTCCTTGAATTTATTGCGGACAACATGACAATCTATCTCAAGGTGCTTTGTACGTTCATGGAAGACCGGATTTGCCGTGATGTGCATCGCAGCTCGATTATCACACCACAGGGTGATGGGAAGGCTGGGGTTGAGAAGCAAGACGTGAGCAACAGCATTGATCCATTGAAGCTCGCAAACAGTGGCGGCCATGGCCCTGTACTCTGCCTCGGCTGAAGAGCGAGAAACGGTCGTCTGCTTCTTGCTTTTCCAGGAAACCAAATTCGGTCCCAGAAACACGCAATAGCCAGTAATGGAACGTCGGGTGTCCTTACAAGCCGCCCAGTCAGCATCGCAATAGGAACTAAGATCAAAATTGCCACTTGCAGTGTAAAGAAGCCCAAGCGAAGAAGTCCCTTTGAGATATTTGACTACATGAAGTGCAGCAGTCATGTGATTTGTAAAGGGATTGGTAACAAATTGGCTCAGCTGCTGTACGGCATAACTGATATCAGGACGAGTAAGGTTGAGATAGAGCAGCCGGCCAATGACCCTCCTATATTGATCTGGTTCATCCATAGGATTCCCATCAAAACTAGAAAGTTTCAAACCAGGCGGAAGTGGGGTGTGAGGTTCGTTACAGTCAAGTAGACCAAGATCCAATACCAAATCCTTGACATATTTTTGCTGGCATAGGCCAAGGCCGGCAGCACTCCTTGTGATTTCAATGCCTAAGAAGTATCTGGCCTCACCAAGGTCTTTAATGGTAAATTCTTTGTGTAAGAAGTTCTTCAGAGAAGTCATGAGATGGTGAGAAGAACCTGTGATAAGGACATCATCAACATAGACAAGCATGGCCAGGAATTCCCCATCTATGTGCTGTGTGAATAAGCAATGGTCCTGGGAAGATTGATGTAAACCAAAACCCAAAAGTTTCTTGCACAATTCTGAGTTCCACTCTCGAGAAGCCTGCTTTAGTCCATATAAGCTTTTAATGAGCTTGCACACCTGCCCTTCCTTAAATCCTGAGTAACCTTGTGGTGGTTTCATGAATACTTCTTCATTGAGGTGACCATGCAAAAAGGCATTGTTCACATCTAGCTGCCACAAGTTCCATCCTTTCATTGCTGCTAAAGCTATAAACATCCGTACTGTGACTAGCTTGGCAACAGGGGAAAAAACCTCAAAAAAATCCACACCCTCCACTTGATTGAAGCCCTTAGCCACCAACCTGGCTTTATATCTCTCCACCTCCCCATTGGCCTTCCTTTTGATCTTGTACACCCACTTGGACCCAATAGCCTTCTTTCCAGGGGGCAAATAACACATTGTCCATGTCTGATTTTTGTCCAAAGCCTGTAGTTCCAAATTCATGGCCTGAACCCATTTGTCATCATTCTTGGCTTGGTTATAATGCAATGGCTCCTCCTCTTGTGCTAGATTGATCAAAAATTGATCTGTGGGTGTAGCTTGTTCCTGTTCAGCATTATCACAAATATAGTCTCTCATCCAAGCTGGTTTGGTCCTTACTCTCTTTGTACCTTGCACAGCTTGGTCCATCTGCTCACTAGACTCAACTGGTGGTGGATCATTATTAATATGAGGAGCTGCTGATGGAGAATCAACAATTCGTGGCAAAGGGTCAATGGATGTATCTGTTGTAAGTGGTGTTGATTTAAAAGGGAACGTGTTGGGGAAGAAAACAACATCTCGGGAAACAAATTTTTTTTCTTCTTCAAGATCATACAAGTAATATCCTTTACATCCCACCAAATATCCAATAAAGACACATCTATGAGATCTTGTGTCAAATTTACTCTTTAGAGGTGAAGTGTTGGCAGCATATACTAAACACCCAAAAGGTTGGAACCTGCCATAATCTGCCTCCTTCCCATATATCTTTGCAAAAGGTGTACTCCATCCCAAAGCTGAGCTGGGCAACCTATTGATTATGAATGCTGCAGTTAGGACTGCATAACTCCAGAAACTCAGTGGCAATCCGGATTGAAATATAAGTCCTCTTGCAATCTCCAATAACTGCCTATGTTTCCTTTCTACCACCCCATTTTGTTGGGGTGTGTAGGCACAACTTCTTTGATGAATAATCCCATTCTTAGTCAACAAGTTCTGGCATCTTTCACCAACAAATTCCAAGCCATTATCACTTCTCATTCTTTTGACTATTTTCCCAAATTGAGTCTTGACCATTATCAAAAATTTCTCAATGTGACCTACTGTTTCCCCTTTTGTCTTCATCAAAAATATCCAGACACCCCTACTGTAATCATCCACAACAGTTAAGAAGTATGGTGTGTGTGTGTGAGGTTATCTTCTTTGCAAGGACCCCATATGTCAACATGTATCATCTCAAACACATCCTTAGATTGTATCTTGCTCAAGGGAAATGGTGCTCTATGTTGTTTGGATTTGAAACAGGTGTCACATTCTTTCAATGCATCCTTCTGAGTGCAATATCCTTTCAAGAAGCTTATATGCTGTAACACACCTAAGGAAGCATGCCCCAAAATTTTGTGCCAGTGTTCAAGAGAAACAGTACATGCTACCTGATCATTTTTGTGCCTTTGCTCTGTGATTAGTATGTAAAGTTTCCCTTGCAGTTTTCCATGTCCCTTCCGTTGCCCTGTCAGTTCATCCTCAAAGAAACACTGATTTGAAGTAAAGGTACATCTCAGGTTGGTGGAAGCACATAGTTGTGTGACCGAGAGTAAATTATACTTGAATGAAGGTATGAACAACACTCCATATAGTGTGAGATCCTTTGTTAGTTCTACTTCACCCATTTCAAATACCTCCTTAACACTCCCATCAGGCAAGTAAATGGTGATTGCCTTTGATAAAACCACCATGTTTTTCATTAAGTCTTTGTCTGTGCACATGTGCTTGCTAGCACCTGTGTCAATCACCCAAGCCTTTCCTTCAACATTATCATACATAGACAGTGCATAGTCTGCCTCATTTGTGGCAAAATTTACAAAGTGCTCCTCGTCCATCACTGCATGACCTCCTGTGCCATCCTTATTGCCTTTACCAAGGATCTTAGCTACCTCTTGAGCCAATTTGGTTATGTCACTTATGGAATTAAAGCCTGTTCCCAGCAGTGCTTGATTGCTTTCCTTTACCTCAGCCACATTAGCAATACCTTTCATCTTGTTGTCCCTCATTTCTTTGAACCAATCTGGATAGCCATGTAACTTGAAACATGTAGCCTTTTCATGTCCCTTCCATCCACAATTATCACATGTCAACTTAGCCCTCTCTTCCTTGGACAACCTCTGTCCACCTCGTCCTCTACCATAAGATGGTTGTCCATTGGGGAATTTACTGTGCATGCCTCTGCCAAATGGTGCATTTGTCTTAAAAGCCATTGCCATGCCTGAATTAAAATCATCACTAGCAAGCTGCACTGATCTCTGTCTTTCAGCAGAAAGCAACATGGAGTAAGCTTTACTAACTGAAGGTAGAGGATCCATCAATAAAACCTGGTTTTTGACGTGATCATAGCTCTCATTCAATCCCATCAAAAACTGCATGAGTTTGTTTTGCTGATATTGCGCATCCATCTGTTTTCCAATTTCACACGAACACATCAAATGAGGTACCAGACATCCATATTCCTCCCATTTTCTCTTCAATTTGTTGAAATATAGCATGACTGAATCAGTGCCTTGTTTTAAATTCGAAATTTCCCTTTGCAGTTGATAGATCAATGGACCATTACTTTCACCAAAACTTTGGCAAATTTCTTCCCACAACTCCCTAGCAGTCTCAGCAAAAACAAATCCATCGGCTATGTCCTTAGAAATTGAGTTTAAGATCCAGGAAATTACCATACAGTCGACTTTCTTCCATTTGTCGAAGTCTGGATCTCCTGCAGTTGGCGGTTCAACCGAACCATTAATAAAGCCTATCTTCGTCTTCGCTCCGAGTGCGATCATCATTGATCGTTTCCACGTCAGAAAATTAGCTCCTGTAAGTGGATGTGATACCAGCTGCAGACCAGGATGATCCGATCCATGGAGGAACATCGGATTATCTTCACGAGTTTCTGCACCAACATTTGTTCTCGCATTCAGCAGTGGCCACGCTTCATTGCGATTCGCCATTGATAAGTTCGTCGGGGTTCAATGAGCTTGACCTGCTCTGATACCATGAAGAAACAAAATACCTAAGGCAAAAAAGGAAAAACTGCAACTCTGATAATTTCCCAAAAAGCGCGCATTTCATTTCAGTCGCGGTT